CAAAATTTTTACTTTACACTTTGAGACCCAGGAAAGATAAGAATATCACAATAAGTACACGCAGTCAGGAAAATAAATCAGAATTGCGTGCGTTCTTGTTGAAAATTACTTTAATGGAATTTCGACAAAATTTTGATAACTCTTAATACAAAGTATTAAAAAATAAGTTTAAAAATTACGATGAGTAAACCATTCACACAACTAAAAACTCGCACCGCTGCGGCTCTAACTGCAGCGTCAGCAGTATCCTCCATATTGGCGAATGTAGAGAAACGTTTGAACCACAATTCAAAAGGAATTTTGCTTCAAGCATTCGACACACCGTGTAGCAGATACATTTGCCGCACGAACTGTCGAACTTTTTGGCTCAAATGTTCGGTCCAACGTTGGAGCGAATGTTCGACGTATCATGTAGCGCCGGTTTAAGGGGCTATCGAAAACCGTAAATTATGCAAAGTTGGTTAAATGGGGAAGAAGTTGCAAGCGAAATTTGCCTACGGAAGTGAAAGTTACAGCGACTGAAATATCGCGACAGCAATGCGCTTCACACTGCTACAATTCGTCCACGCTTTTGATTTTGGGACATTGTGAGCTGGTCGCCGTTGTTCCTCGCTTGTGGACACGATTGGGATAAAACCGTGCTTGAACGCAACATTAACGCGACTATTGTCTCGAAGGTGTATAGAAACCCTTCCGGGTTGCGCTACTTTTCGTTTGATCTGCCATAAAAAAGCGTTCATAAATGGTTTTCGTCGAACTGCCAGCGAACCCACGGCGCGTTGCGTTCACCCATGACAATAAGAGCCTTTTCACACGGGCCACTCTGCATCGCGTCTCAGTGGCGCTGCTGATAAGCGCACGTTAACATTGTACCAGCCACTCTAAAGCGCTTCTTGGTGGAACTGCTGAGAAGCTCACGTTCACCTGAAGCAGACTGAAGTGACTCGTGTGAACGCCAGCATTTGAACCAATGTATTGCTATCAGTGGCGCTTCTTTTTGACGCGCTTCTAGCTTGACGCTGAACGCCACAGGAGCACTGCTAAATCGATGGTCCGGCCAATAGCTCCATGTAAATAATTGTACCTTCAAAACGCGCTTCTCAGCAGCGCCACTGGGAAGCGCTGCAGAGTGGCCCGTGTGAAATGGCTCTAAATCCTCGTCTTAATAAATAAGTCACTTAATATTTTCAGAAATTATTAAAGACTTTATTTCCAACATTTAGCCCTGTTAAGGAAAACCGTTGTAAAAATGGCCAAATTACAAAAAGTTTTACAAAGTTTAAAAATTGAGAGAAAATGTCGCGAATACAGGCAGCCTTTCCGTTAAGCAATATCTTCTTAATCGATTGTGGAAACTCGCTTCTCGGTACCTGAGTTGGATGGGCATAAAGCTGGATTTATTGTAAACTCTGCAGTTGGTGCCGTTCGTCGTTCGTGAAGTTGCTGTTGTTCGCGTTTGATGATTTATATTGTGCAGTTTGCAGCTGCCGACGTTGGAATTTGATAATTCAGATTGATGGATTGTATGCCCATATGTTGCTTATGTGTGGTGTTGTCATCCTGTTCCTTCTGGGCATTATTGTAGTTCTTGTGCCGCAAATTGTACAAGTACAAACAAAATACGGCCTGGTTTTGGCAAATGACACTCAGTCACTCGCGTGATTTAAAACTTTCTCAATGGTTAAATCGCCGCACGAACGACGTCGCCGGCGAAATAAATTTAATTGGTTAATTACCAACGGCATGGAAACGACGAACTTCAAGCAACGTCGGATTTATAAATTGAAACATGGGCGCGCGTATGTTTATTTCCCGAACGGCGGCAACTGCAAACTACGAACGGCACCAACTGCAAAGTTTATAAATAAAGACGCGCTTGAGTCGCATTAGGCCGCGTCCAGATGTAACGCGACGAGACGGCGACATGAGCGCTTGTTGTGGGTCGTGCCTCGAAAGTTGTATCCAGTGAGTCTGTGAATGTATTAATAATGTATAATTGCATGTATAATTGTATCCATGAATCTGTGCATGTACAGTACATACATGTACCAATAGTCCAGTCAGATTAGGCTTGTTTTGCGCACCAAATAGATGAAAGTAAAAGATCATTGGAAGATGTTTGGAAGTGCTTGAAGAAAGCACTTTCCTTGAAGAAAGTGTGAAAACCCGTTTTTTGCGGATAAATTTTGAACCGTTGATGCTATTGAAAAAATACTAGTAAATACTTTTTTCAAGTATTAAAAATAGCTACAATAGAAGACAACCTAAATTAAAATTCGTTTATTTGTTTACTCAAAAACGAAAATAAACGCCGATTTTAGCATTTTTTTAACTTTTCTCTAATTAATTTAGTTTTAGATATTCTATATTGTTGAGGCGGATTAATTTTTTTACAAACCCCTTGTTGGGTATTTCGCCTCAAGAATTTCCTCACGTCTTTTATTACAGATTGATAAATAGTGCTTCTATTTCGCAATAAGAACGAATTATTTATCAAAAAGTAATCAAGAACTATCACCTAGAGGGTATCCTGTGACACACTTAGGCTCAAGCTGTAAGAGAAAATTCCAATTAGTAGAGAAATAAATTTGAAAAATTACCTTGACGTTTCGATAGCTATTTTCTGCTATCGTTATCAAAATAACCTAAATGAACCTAAAAAAGAGTTGTTAATAAATTGTGTAACAATAATAGGATAATACAGTATATGAAAATTCGCTCTGATAATTCGTCTGTGCAAATTGTAAGTTATGCGACTTTGACTTAATCTCATTGTTTAAATTAATAAAGGTAATTTTAATTAATAATTTTGTGTAAATTTAATTTGGGGGTATGTTTCTCTGGTCTACTTCAGATTTTAGCATAGGTAACCATGTATGACTTACATTAAATGAACATGAAGCATCACAATTATTTTGATTTAGTAAAATTAGTACGCTTTCTTTAATTTTACGTTTTTTTGTGGATTGTTCTTTTGTTAAAATTGTGGAATTATTCCATTG